TGCTGGCAAAACTCCCACTAAAGAGTTTATTCCTTTAGTTGCTGCTTTAGCACATGGTAAACAAATGGCTCTGGGTCCTTTTTTGCTTGCTCATTTATACAGGAGTTGCCAAGATATCACGGCTCATCCCAGCCCTTAGTCATTAGTGGTGGGCCGCTTTGGGTTTTGCAGTTGTGGTTGTATTTTTATTTTCCAACCCTAGCTCCTGTCTCATCAGTTGTTCCAGCCCGGGATCTACTTACTTATGGCTTCATGTTCAAGAATGTCGTGGAAAACAAAAGAAGCTTTGAAGAGTGCTTCAAGTTTTTTGCTTCTCTTTCTGTTGATCGACCCGATGCAGACTTTGCTGTGTTTCTTGGTAGATCTCACGGTCCCTCATGGTACAGGGTCGATATCGAATCCCCAGATTTCAGAGCATTTTGGTCTGTTTGTGTGACCTCCCGGGATTTGTTTGTTGGCTGTAGTTTGAACACTCTCAACTCCAGCTATGGCATGGAGCTTTATGCACCGAACCAATTCTGTCGGCAGTTAGGGTATTGCCAAGACATACCATTCCTGCCACTATTTTCCTTCAACTACAGCTGTCCCCTTCGATTCATAGTTGGGGATTCAAAGATTTTGGTTACCAAACTTACTGACATCACCAAAACTCTACAGACGCTGATCCTACCAGACCCTCCATTTAGACCCAGCTGCACTTTTTCTTACAAAAGTTGGTGGTGAGACTACTTTCATCCTCGGTTTCTTGATGTTATGGAGAATATTTTAGTTCTGGCCCCTCCACAACTCACCAAAAAATCTGAAGGGAAGAAAGTAGTAAAAGAGAATGAGGACTTGGAATCTGCCATGGCCGCCCAGATCAGCCAGCCAGAACTGCCAAAGAGAGCTCCCAAACTCCAAGTCAAAAGGAAATTTGCTACTGCTACAGATTCCATGGAAGAAGATACCCCCTCCAAGCAGTGAAGAACTGGAGGTAAATCCACTTTGGCTTGCAACTTTGTGACATGTTTTCTGCTAACACTCACTTTTTTTTTTTTTTTAGAGATCAAGAGGTCAGCAGTAAAACCATATGCAGCCAAGAAACTCATCGAATCTGCCTCTCCCTCGAGGTCCTCTTCTGCCACGGAGACTGAGACGCAACCTGACAAAACAGAAGATGTTTCCCTCGATCCTGCTGCCACGAAAGCTCTTGTGGAAGACATACCTGCTGAGGGTGATGGAAACAATTCTGGCTCCTCTCACACCAAATCTGGCGATGGTTCTTCACCCACCACAAAGGTTAGGGGTTCTAAATTCTCTTCACACATAGCAAGTAAAAGCTTTAGAACAGTTAGATCGAATGAACTCATCGATCTAAGCCCAGACAAAGAGAATACCCCTACACCCGTAGCCTCTCTTGCTAGGCATGTTCATGTTGATGACATTGAGGTTGTTTTATTGTTCTGAAATCTGCTTAGATCCTAAAATCTATCACCATATCTGCCAGTTGCCATTTTTGATCTTTTGTCTTTACATTTTATAGAGTGTTGCTGCTGATGTGCCCATGATTGATGATGATTTGGAGAATGAACTCCTTGCCCAGCTGGATATGTTGATGGATACTCCGGCTAAATCTGGATCTGCCACAGATAGTAAAGGGAAGGCAGTTGCTGAAGAAGTGGATTTTGATATCAACCTTCCTACTCAGGAGCAAATTAGTTTAGCGATCATGACCATGCAAGAGCTCCTTGGTGGTGATCCTTCCCATTTCTGCAAAGTGCCGAACCAGCCAGCCGCCTTTGAAGCGGCTCAAATCTTTAGCCGAGCCCCACAATTATCATCAACTCAACAAAAATTCTGGGCAGACTTCACCTCCATTTATACGCACTTCAGCAAGAGACTCCGGGTGCTTGAAAGCAAAGTAGCAGCTGCAGATTCTGTCAAGAAGTCTGTAGCGGATAGCACTGCCGCTGTCTTGAAGAAGAAAGAAGAATTCTTGGCAGCAAAGGAGACTCATATCACGCAAGTTAAACATGTCCAAGGGCTTAAAGAAGAAATCTCTAACCTTGAAGCCAAGCTTTCAGAGTTAAGAAACCAAGTTCCTCTCGCGGAGCAAAGTGAGAAGAATCTGGCAGAACAAAGAAACAAACTCCGCATGGACATAGAAGCTGGATTGAAATCTACTGCCAAGATCAAGGAGCAGCTACCTTCTTTCACAGCCTCTGCAGATGAAGCCGCTGAAGAAATAAAGAACATGAGAGAAGAATGGAGTTCATGGCAAAACAACCTTTGTTGATTTTTCTCTTATGTATCTCCTTGTCTCTTTGTTGGTTGAAATTGCACATTGTCATGTTTGAACATATTGTTTGCGGCCTATTGGCCATGCAAACTTCTTTTCAATGTTGATCTCTTTCTTGGCTCATATACTGGAAATCTGCTTGTACTTTTTGTTCATACTCTGGTATAGGTTGAAATCTGTCATGGTCGAAATCTGGCCGCTATGGTTGTTCACAGCCAGATTTGGCCTACTTATAGATTTGGCTCAGCACTTTTATTGAATGATAAAATGCTTAAAACAATGAAATAAAATACTGTACAAATCCTACCTCAAATTTGTCTCAAGTAGAATTAATGGTATCCAAACCTCTAGCCTCCCATATCATAGGATAGTAAGGCTTAAAGTAGATTCCATTTATTTTTCGAGGATGTAATTCTCCATTTAATGACTCAAGCCAATATGCTCCTCCTCTAAGCACTTCATGTATACGAAATGGTCCTTCCCAATTTGGAGACCATTTCCCAAATCTGGGGTCTTTCTTTCCAGGTGGCAGAATTACTTTCCATACCAGATCTCCTACTGCTAGACTTCTGGATTTCACCCGTTTGTTGTATGCTCGAGCTACTTTTAACTTCTGCGTTTGCAGCCTATCTAAGGCCGTCAATCGCATACCTTCAAGGTCTTCTAACTCTAGAATCATTGCTTCATTATATTCTCCAGAAGTGAGACCATGTTGAAT